CCCCCCAAGAGGGAATAACTATAAAAACTTCACAAGGTTATGCCATCTGAGTTAAAATATATCCAGAGCAGCTTTTGCTACTAACCCCAGTCTTGACTGGGGCACAATGGGGAGTCAGCTCCAGGCAATATAAGGCTTATCAAATAAAACTAAAATGATTTCAAGTAGTTCTGAGTTATCACATCTCCCAAGGGACAGCTTTACATCCCTGCAGAACCCAGTACAGCCAAGGCCAACAATCTGTACTCAGTTTCTTTGTCAAGGCATGCTGTTAGCTGAAATGTTTCCAGGCTTAATAAATAGTTTTGCATACTGAAAACTTTTATTTTGAGATTTATGATCCATATTTAGAAGAGCTGTTTATTTTACTTAGATTTTATTTTGTCCACTGGATATTCTACAAGAACTTGTTATTCTTTGCTTTATTAAGGACTGCTTGATCCAGCTTCAAACACAGCAAGAGTGCCAGGAATTGTCAAACCCCTTAATTTTTTATCATCATTCCTCTTTAGTAAGCTGCTGGATGAGAATTGCCAGCTCACGTGCAGACGTGATGGGCTCCCATCCCCTCCCGAATGCCAGAACAACAGTGCATGTCCAAGAGACTTAGAAGCAGACAAAGACACAAAATTCCCAGAAAGCAGCACCAGCCTGCAGCCGACCATCCAGAGGAGGCAAAACTCATTACCCCTCTCAGTGGTTCACCTGTCTATACTGCTCAGGTAAGTGTCTTCTCCAGCTGCTAGCAGAGGAGACAGATGTGTTCATGGGTTCCATCTTGCCAAGCCTCTCAGCATTCCAGAGGCACTTCAGTTATGCTTTTAGTCACAGCATTTAGTTTTAGGGAGTCTGCAAGGAGCAGGGAGTGGGACTCAATAATCCTTATGGGTTCTTTCCAATTTGAGCTTTTCTGTGATTCTGTGGTCTCTGATGTTTTTCTCTCACAGTCAAGTTACAGATGAGATGCAGCTGCAGAAGTTGGATATTTTCGTACCCCTGGCTGATATCAACAATTACCTAAAATTTACTGAAGCAGCAGGACGAATATGGTAAGTGTGGACATCTTGTGGAAGTGCCTGTGAGATGGGAATAAGTGACAGGCACAGAAGTGTTCAACTTCACCCACGTGCAGTTTTGGCAGGGCAGAACAGGGCAGGGGCAGTGCTTGCTGGCACTTCAGTGATTCCTTCTGCTCTCTCCGATTCTTTTTATGAGATTGTATTTCAAATGCTGTTGTAAAGAAGAATCCAGCATGCTGTGTAATAATTAGTGACAGTTTCAACCAGAACCAGACCAAAAATGTACAAAGTCATTGAACATGTGTGTCATTTCCAGAGGGCAACCCCACAAATGCAATCCTGTCCAGAAAGTGCAGTGATACAGGATATCCTGTGTGTTTCCTTTGTTGTCTGCCCTCCACAGCATCTCACAGTGGGCTGGTCCCCGCAGGCTGGGGTGTTTGTTTAACCACGGGGACCACGTGGTGGCTGTGAATGATCTGCAGCCCCAGGGTGTGGAGGAGGCTTACTTCTTCATCAGCAGGTCCACGAGAAAGGAGGTAAGCTTGACTGACCTTGACTCAAATATATCAAGCTAAATGAGAAAGCAATTCCCTTTTTTGCATTTCAATTCAAACCAGTTTACTCTGGGGTAGGTTTGGAGTGAATAACTCCAGCACCAATATCTCCTCAGCATCATTCTGATGTGGTGTCTTGTACTCCTGAGCTGTGTGGGGAACACAAGGCCAGCACTGCAGAGTTTGAAGAAGACTTTGAGCAACAACAAGAGATGTTACTGGGCAACCACAAACTAGAGTTACTTGGGATTTTTATGCCTAATGCATATAAATTGCAAGTTTTGGGAAATAAACCATTGCCTCCAGTGGATGTGTGGTTGCTTATAGTGGTTTGGGTATTGAGGGCAGAGCCCTGGACTCCTTTGTCCTATGGCTTATCAAGCACTACACATCTTGTGTGAGACTGTGTTTTTTGAAGAACCTGGGACATTTCTAAGATGTTCTTTAACCCAGCTGTGATCCACAACATGTTTCTGAACGCATATTTCAGTATTCAGGTTCATGACCCATATCCAAACACATTCATATTTGAATTCTGCTGAGAAGGTTGAGGTCATGAGATGCTATTGCCATCTAAAGAGTCTAAAGAAAGGAAAGGCAAGGAAAAAAACCAAACTCATCTCTCTTTATGGAGAATTTTTATTTAGCTAGTTCAAATACAAGTCAGATTGTTGCACAAATATTGATCAGATATAACAAGCTGTAAAAATGTCCTTTTTTCTTTTTAAGGTGAAACTTACTGTATGTAGGATTCCACATTCAGATACCTTCCATGCTAAAGGCTGCTCATGTTCCTGAAAAAAAACTTACCTCAATGATTAAGTAAGTGCCAAAACTCAAGGGAAAAAATCAGGGAGGAGAAGGTGATATATGTAGAGATAATCATCTTCTTGAGCTGCCAGACATCTTCTGCTGCTGAAGTACAAAGAATGGAGAATGTGGATTTCAATTTATGTCCTAATAACTTATTTTGTGGCATGAATGGCATGTGTTTGGCTTGTATTTCATGTTGGCATGTATTTCTGTCACATGGAAGAAAATGAGGGTCAGATAATTTATGTGACCTTTGCGCTGTGTATACTTTTCATTTCATCAGGAAATACTGGTTTGTGCCTCTGCTCACCTCTTTACACTGAGTTACAATGGTTTATTAGTGAACTCCTAATCAGCCAGAAGTGGGCAAACAACCAGCATTTGGACTAAAGCTGTGGTTTTCCTGGATTCCCCTTAGCTACAGAAAGGCTCAAGTGAGCTAGGAGCTGCAGTGTGGAGGAAAGGGTGATGTATAAAATGTTGTGCAGTGATTCAGTGGGGTCTCCTTTTGGGTTATGCCCCTCTTATGATACAGCCACAAAAGTGCATCCAAGGGATGGCAGGAAGAAGAGCTGGTTGGAGAAAGGATGTGTCTGGAGCACCTTTGGGTTCATTGACAGCCAAGATAAGACCTAAGTGAAAAAGGAACTAATGGATTTGGGAGAGAGAAGGGCTGGCCTGCTCTGTGAAAAGTAAAGACAGCTGGGAAAACCACAGAGAGAAATGATGTATCTGAAAGCATGTGCTCTCATCCCAATGCAAACAGTTCACTGCTTCTCACAGAGAATGTTTTGATGCTACCAAGCAGTAGCACAGGGATGTCACTGGTGCAGCAGGATTTCCAGAGCAAGTGCTCATTTGTTTCCCAAACAAGGATTTTTCCTGTAAATATTTATTTGTGGAAATGCCTTGCTCGCATTGTTACCATAGAAACATGACCAATTTTCAGCTGGTAGCCCAGCAAAAGGAAATTGATAAGGAACTGCCTTCAGGAGTGCTCCAGTGGATGCCAAAAGGGAGGTTTGCCTGTCCTAGAGTGACCTCTGTTGCTTACAGCACCATGGTGTGACATGGCAGAACACATACCTGTGCCCTCTATGAACATGGACACTCTGTGTGGGAATTTTTACACACCCATACTGCTGTAAAATAGATAGTGGCAATATACACTGGTGTGGCAACAGACAGAATCACTGGGTTTGAGTACTGATCATTTCATCTTGCCAGACACAACCAAAATAACTACTGGGTTTAGCAGGCACAGGATTACTGATATGAAGAGGTTTATATAAGCTTTGATTGAGATGGATTTGGCTCAAAGGAGGTATTTATCCAGCCTCCAACTGAATAAGGCCAAATTGGCTACTATGGTAAGGAATTACACTCACTAAAAATCAGCGTTGGTGCAACTTAATTTAGTAGTAAATTTGACAAATTTGTTGGGCTTAAAAAAAATAGTTATAAAATTTTATTCAGCTGAAGATGAAAACAGCACCAGTAACTCAAAACAGGCAAACACAAATATGTATATTTGTGTCTCTTCAGACTCAGCTTCTTTTCAAAAGATTAATTTCCAGACTGAATGTTTCCACAGCCTGTCACTTCTGCCTTTGAGATAAGAGTGTTCAGGACATGCTTGTTTCTCAAGGTGGAAAGGATCACATTTTGATTTTTCTGTTTCAGTGGTGTTCAAAGGCCTGTTTGTGCGGAATTCTGCATAAATACAGAGGGAACTCCCAGTTCTGGAACTACAGAGGCTGAAAATGGAAAACACATTCCTTGGGAGCACTTCTCCAAAGCTGCTGTGGGAGTCCTTTGCTCTGTACTGCTGCTTTGAGCACAGCAAATCCATTTCTGCCCAAGGAGCCCCTGAGGGATGGGATGGCTGGCTGTCACTATCCAGGGCTTCTTCCAGCCCTGAAACTCTGTCAGTCTGCTAGGACAGTCCTCATGGCCTGAATCCTAAAATCACAGATCACCTACTTCAAGAGCATCTACTGAGGATGTCGTCCTCAGCCTTTCCTGGCCAAAGTTTGCCTCAGCTCTTCTGAACTTTGGAAAAGGAAAGTCCAAACTTTTCTGTGTTGCTCCAAGATTCAATCTCTGTAAAATCAGGAAATTATTTTCTAATATTTATCCTAGACAATATTTTCAGAAAATTAACATGATTTTTTTCTTGCCCTGTTTTCAGTGGGCACAGGGAACATTTGGATTGCCACTGTGTGCACAGAAATCTTCATTGTGGAAGATATTTTTTCTATTCTCCCTTCTCTTTTTCTTAGACCAAACATCCTGCATTCTTCCATCATTTTTTCAAAGAGTTCCTGAAAATGGTAATGCGAGACAAATACCTTGTGTTTCCAATTATGGATGAACAGAGGAGGTGAGAAATTCAAATTTAAAGAATTCAATTCCAATTGAATTCAAAGAATTCAAATTCCTTTTGGATTTCATCAGAAAGAAATCCAAAGCCATGAAGCAATTTCCTAGAACTTCAGAGAAACATTTCTCCAAAGAGGTGAATTAGTGAAGATTCCCCCATGGCTGTGGGAGAAGAGCCACCTCCATGGAACCTGCTGCTGAAGCAGATGCTGAGCACTGCATGCTGCACCTCTCAGCCATGGAAGAATGATACTTTTGGACAAAACCAGCATTTGGTTAGATATAGCAGGTACAGAATAATTCCAGAATGTTTTAGAGAACTGGGGGATTACTTCTGTGCTTCAGTAAACAGTTACAGATGTGTGACTCCATAATTGATCATTATGTCAGTTTGCACAATGCTAAATGCAGATAATTAATGTCACATATTGGCTGATTCATAACGCTCACAGAGATACAATATGGAAATTACATTGGTACAGTAAATTCTGGTGGGGTGTGTGAAGTTGTCTGCCCACATATGATTAATAAATGTCCTAACACTTTACAACACATTTGTGCAGCAAAACACCTCATTTTCTCCTAACACAGCCCCTCCTTGCCCTGCAAAGATTACCTGTAACTTCCCAGTAATGTGCAGCTGAGTCACTTAACAGCCCGTTTAAACAAAGCTTCACTTAAATAAAGATTTAGGTTGTTTCCCTGGCTGTTAATTTGTGGCACATTCCTATGCTGCTCTCACTTATTAGTGGCTGCCAATATTTCCCCGTGGATTCCCAAACTTGACTCATGCTCTTTCTACTGCAGCATCTAGCTAGGAAGATGGCAATTGCCCAGGAGAAAAGCAAGTCCTGGAAGAGAGATACAGTAATGGTAAGGGAAGTCTCTAAATTGATTGAGGTCATTGAAATTAAGAAAAATAAAAAGCCCACTGAATAGAAAGACAAACCAGACCACACCACCTCCACACTTCCTCCCAAGAACACTCCTGAGAACTGGGCTTGGAGTCAAAAAGTGATCAAGAGAGCACAGGTCCTGCAGGAGAATGAGTCCAGCCAGGGAAGGTTGTCTGTGCAGTGCCCACCCTGCAGTGAGCCAGAGAAAAGCTCTGTCTAATGGTTAATTCTCTTATTAGAGTCCCTCCAGCCTGGGGGATTGGAGGGATAGCTGTATATGTAATAGGGATATCTAAATAAATACCTACATATTAACAGAAATAACTAAATAACAACCAGACATACTTCAGTGTGGCTGGAATTTCTGCAAAGGGAGGCAAAGAGGAGCAGCTGCAGTAAAGTTGAGTGATGATACCCTGCACACTGCAGAGAGAGTGGATCTGTGGTGAGCTGGGGACACCAGGTGCTTAATCTGTGTTTTGCCCCAGATTTTCTGGTGACCTCAGGAGAGCCATTTCCTCACGCACACTCAGTAAAATTCAAGGAGTGGTTTCAGACACATTTGCATCATGCTGTCTCTTACCATGAATGTGATCTCCAGCACCACATTCAATACTAGGAATTGCTTTATCTCCCAGAAAATTCCTGGAAAAGCCTCCATCAGACCTGTATGTTACAGGCTTGAGGGTGGGTTCATCGATGCCCAGTGCTGTGGGGAAGTGCTGGTGTGCTGGTTCCATGCCAAGGGAGAAGCAACCCTTGATGTCCTGCAGAAACTGGCTTACCTGGGTCCCTCCAGGCACTCTGTCCTGAGGGAATGTGGGGTGATGTTCCCACTTCCCTGCAAGGAACTGGCTCACATCATCTGTACTACTCCTGGAAATCTGCACCAGCAGGGACTGTGGAAATCTTCCCAGTCACATGGATTCCTCCAGCCTTTCAGGCCCTTTAGGGGACACACTAATATTTACAAAGGTGGTTCCCTGCTGGTGCTCCCTTGGCCAGAGCAGGGGCTGGAAAGTGAATGTCCTGACTGTCTGCCTTGGGTCTCTGGAGATCACAGGGTAATCTGAGATGCTCCAAGGGCTTTTTTGGTTTGTTTCCCAGGGATGAACACTCCTTCCATGTACATGAATTGCCGTGGCCAGCCACTTCCCTCCTGCAGGCTGGCCAGCACGTCACCACGAGGAACTTGGGGCATGCCAGGCAGTTCCTAGAAATGCCACTGGAATTCTGAATGCTCCTTTTGGCCCCTTACTACCTTCTAAGTTATTGCATCCCTCAAAGAAGTGGAGAAGCCAGACAAGGTTGATAGAAATCTTTCATTCAGGAAGATCTCTTTAAATGCAAAGATACCTTCACTGTGAGGACCCTCAGTGACCAGGAGCCCTGTGCTTGCTGCTGACAGCTCCTTGGTGGCTCCATCTTACAGCAGGACCAGCACTTTGGGGGGCACCAAGCTGCTCTGGTGGCAGCAGGACTGGACTTGCCACAGCACGTGTCTGGCCATGTTCAGTTTTTCATCCTGGGGTGCCTGAGTTGATCTGTGCCTGGGAATTTGTTTTGTTTATAACCCAGCAGTGGAGGATGAAATTGAAGCATTGGTGGGAGCATTAAGATCACGGCTATCAGTGGTGCTAATCTCCTTTTAAAATGTTGGATGGTTGTGATGTTCATCAGTAGGGACATCACTGAGCTACATCCTTT